GTCCGGGCCGGCGCCGACCCAAGCCGGACCCCCGCTCCCTGGACTCCGGGCTCGTGCTCCCTGGACTCCTCCCTGGACTCCGGGCTCGTGCTTTCTGGACTCCTCCCTGGACTCCGGGCCTGCTCTCTGGACTCCGGACCGTGCTCCTCGGACTCCTCCCTTGCGTCTGGGCCCGGCTCCCTGGATTCCTCCCTGGACTCTGGGCTAGCGCTCCTTGGACTCCTCCCTGGACTCCAGGCCCGCGCTCCCCGGACTCCTCCCTAGCCTCTGGGCTCGCACTTCTATCCCGAGCCCCAGCCGCTGAGGGGAGGGAAGGCGTGGGCACATGGACTGAGCCACTGGGAAGGAAAGTGGGCCAGCGAGGGAGGGGCGGAGGGACAGAGGCAGGCAGACCCACAGGGGGCTGACATGCCCAAGTAGTACCAGTAGTATGAGTAGTACGATAGTAGGCGTGTGTGTACAGAAGCCGGCAGGGGTTAACTCTTCCCGCTGTCAGTCTTCCCATGACCCCCGCCCTGACCTGTGCCCTCTACTTCTAGTGCCGGGTCATCAGGTCATTCCGGGTTGCTCACTGCAGCCCCACCATCTGTGTTCTACTCTGCTTCCAAAATCTTCTTTCAGAAAATAAGGTTTTATCACGCCACTGCGCCGCATAAAATAGTCCGGGGGCGCTCCACAGTGAACCAGACAGACGGGGGTGAAGTCTGCAGCTCTGGAGTGGGAGCACCTGGGCTGAAATCCTGGCCACGACACCTAAGGGAGGTGTTGCATGTGTCTGTGGCCAGACCACCCAGGTGAGCGCTGTGTGCATCCACCTCAGGGCTCAGAGCTGAAGCGTGAGGGGGACAGGGAAAGGAAGGGTCAGAAGCCCAACACGGGGAAGGTCCTGAAGGAAAGCTGGAGGCTTTCTGGGCACTGGAGTAACTGATCCACAGAAGGGAGACGAATTCTTGGAGCCTTTGAGAGGACCACACTGCAAAGGGGCCTGTTAGGGTGCACAGAAGCAATTAATGACAGGATAATTGTCCGATTTGCTGCTGTTTGTTTTCTCTCCATTAGAGTTTTCTAAGTGGACTTCCTCCAGGAGGGTGAGGATGGATGACACAGCACTAAGAACATACTAGAACCAGCTGTCACACGGCACACGGCTGGTGACTGGAGCTTCCCCGTCACTCACCTGGGAAGGAGCAGGTCAGGAACCCCCAGTCCTGCAGGTCCTCAGCGCAGGGCACGGCCCCTTGCTCCAAATGGGAGATGAGGGGTGGCTTAGGGCAGGCAAGGCCTGCTCGTGGAGAAGGGAAGTCAGTGTGCATAGCAGATCACCTCTGTCCCAACACCCGGCCTTGACCCTTCTGCTCACACTGCAGAGGAGAGTGTGAGCAGGGGGGAGAAAAGGGTGTACTTGGGGGGGTGTGCCAAGGTGTAAGCAAGCATGTAGGGATGACCTCAGAAAGGTCACGCTCAGAAGGGCAGAGGAGGAGACCCCAGGAAGCAGTCACTTGGTTGTATTTTCCCCGTTGTGGCTGCGAGGCAAGAGTGAGGGCTCTGACTTTCACTGGGAGGCCCGGAGATGTCAATAGACAGCAAGTAAAGAGTAAGGACAGGAGAAAGGACTAAGCCAAGCACGGGGTGAACTCACCAGCCGACAGCATGTTGCCATAGTTCTCCAGCATCACGTCAGTGTATAGGTGCCTCTGGGCGCGGGTCAGACACTGCCACTCTCCGCTACTGAAGCACACGGCCACATCCTCAAACGTCACCACGTCCTGCAAGGATATGCTCCCGCTGACCCGGAGGAAACCCCAGTCCCCAGGAAACAGACGCAGAAGAAGGGATTCTCAGGAGGTTTCTAGAAATGAAAGGTGGCTACTGTTCCACATATATTTGGGGTTGTGGTGGAAGGGGGCATAGGCTGTGCACAGCGAAAATCATGACCGGGAACAATCCACGAATGGTGTGGCATCCAACAAAATGTTCCTTGTGAGTGGAATGCCTGGATTGGGGGGGGGGGGGGGGGTGGGTCAGGGAGCGAGTGAAAATGAGGCCGTATTCAGGACGTGGTGCTGTATTTCCAGGAAGGATGGAGGGGCCTCAGCTCGCCTGGGCCCCACTCACCGGTGTGGTATTTGCTCCTGGCCGGTCTCCGTGGCTTCCGTCGTTGGCAAAGGCAGGATGCTGAGGAGCCCGCAGGGCTGAGGGAAGAGAAATGAGTCAACTTGGCACGGTATTGACGAGACCCTGTGCTTTCCTCCTCTTCCCTAACGTGCAAGTCTCAGACCACACCTTCCCCTCATTTCTCCAGCCTGTTTCCAGTTTGGGCAGCAGGCCATGGCACACAGCCATGCTGACGGTAAATGCTTGCTCTCCCTACAACGTGGTTTTCTGTGGTCGCTATTCATCCTAGAATAACCTCGCCTGTCCCCAAGCCCACATCACTGACTCCTGGCTGGTTCGATGACCTTCTTCCAGGATCTGAGTGTTGAGGTCACTTCCTCCAGAAGGACTAGGGATGGGGATGGATGGGGATTGGCCCACAGCTTGTTCCTTTAGGTAACTTACTAGCTGGCCTACCTCGGGCCATTTTCCCTTGTTCTTATTAGAGAAGCAGCATGTGTCCCGACTCTGAGTCTTCTGTTAGCTCCTGGCACGGAGCCACCGTCCCCTCACCGTGCTGCAGTGCACGCAGTGTATGCAGCATGTGGTGTCCAGGTGTCTGGGGCAGCCCGTAGGGCACTTCGGCCCTCCACCTCGGCCGGCCCACATAGCTGGCTAGGGAGCCCTAATTCACTCCTCAGGGACCAGCTCCACCTTTCCTTAGCTTGTGTTTGCAGTGACTAACTTTTCTAGAAAGTTCTTCAACACATCCCCAATCCGAGTCTGAGCAGTCTCTTTCAGAAGATACCAGGGAGATTGGTCACCAACTGATAAGACTCTAGGATCACCCTGTGGACTTAGGTCCCCAAAATTTCATTCCAATTTTACCAAAACTTCAATTTAGGAGGAAACTGGTTTCTTCCCAGAGAAATTTCCCAAGAACATTGTTCTTTGGTTTAGACCTGGGCTGTGTCTCAGTCCTCATGGGTCCTGCTCTCTTGTTCTATGTCTGACCTACAAGCCCACGCATTCTGTGACTGTTGGTCACACATGGTCCCACACCCATTGGGCTCACAGCAGAGGCAGGTCTGCTCTGCAAGGATCCTCATGACATCAAAAATGTAACCTCCCAGCTCGGTTTTTTGTTCAATCCACATTTTATTTATTTTCTTCTTCTTTTTTTTTTTTATTTTTTTATTTTTTAAAGTTTTTTTTTTTTCAACGTTTATTTATTTTTGGGACAGAGAGAGACAGAGCATGAATGGGAGAGGGCAAGAGAGAGAGGGAGACTCAGAATCGGAAACAGGCTCCAGGCTCTGAGCCATCAGCCCAGAGCCTGACGCGGGGCTCGAACTCACGGACCGCGAGATCGTGACCTGGCTGAAGTCGGACGCTTAACCGACTGCGCCACCCAGGCACCCCAATTTTCTTCTTTTTTTTAATGTTTATTTTTGAGAGACAGAGAGAGAGATTGGACGTGAATGGGGGAGGGGCAGAGAGGATCTGAAGCAGGCTCTAGGCTCTGAGCTGTCAGCACAGAGTCCGACTTGGGGCTCAAACCCATGACCTGTGAGATCATGACCTGAGCTGGAGTCAGACACTTAACCGACTGAGCCACCCAGGTGCCCCTCAATCCACATTTTATTGTGAATGTTTTCAAATATACAGAAAAGGTGAAAGAACTGTTTGGTAAACATCCACATACTCCCCACTCATGTTCCACAATTAATGTTTGCAATAAACCTCTGTCTGTCTAACTAGCCCTGTCTCTACTAATCCACTCGTCTTTGCTGAGTTTCAAAGTAATGAAGACATGAGCAACTTTACCCCAAAACACTTTCTCCCATGTATCATTAACTGGGGTTCAGTATGTGTTTACATTCTTGTTTTTGAGTAAATTTACATACACGTTTATATACACATACATACACAAGTCGTAAGTGTACCATTGGCTGAGTTTTGACAAAGCACAGCCCTATTTGGCCCAAAGTCCCCTCCAGAAACGTCCCCGTTGGATTTTGACTATATCTTCTTCACAGATTGGGATAGTCATTAAGTCATAGTGGTTCTTCTTTTAAAAAAGTGTTCATCATGCTATTTTTTTTTTTAAAGTAGATTCCGTGCCCCATGGGAGGCTTGAACTCATGACCCTGAGTCCAAGTCATGTGCTGCACCAACTGGGCCAGCCAGGTGCCCCCAAAGTTTTTTGAACTGTGGCACAGAATATGTGACAAAATTTACCATCTTAAGCGTTCTTAAGTGTATGGTTCAGCAGTGTTGAAAACACACAATGTGAGTCATCTCCACAACTTTTTCATCCTGCAAAACTTAAACTCTCTATGCATCACACAACCTGCCTGTGTCTCTCCCTCCCCAGTCCCTGGTCACCACAGTGATTCTTAGGCTTTATTTTTTAGCTTTAGATTTTGAAAGGTCAGTTTCTGCCCTCAAGTTAAAAATGAATCTGGGACACAGGCTGTGTGCTCACGACATGAAACTACCTTGGTCAGCTCAGGCTGCCCTAACAAAATACCCCAGGCTGGCTGGCTCACTTCTCTCAGTTCTGGAGGCTGGACGTTCAGATCCAGGTGTCGGCCCCTCCTGGCTTCCGTCCCTCTCCTCTCACATGGGAGAGACAGAGTTCTAGGCCCCTCCTCATATAAGGACACTACTCTCTTCATTGCCATCCTTATGACTTCATCTAAGCCTCATTTCTTCCCAAGGCCCCACCCACCTCTCAATATCATCACACAGGGGTTCAGGGACATGTGCATTTTGAGGGGACACGTTCAGTCCATAACAAAACTATTTGTTAAAGCTGGGCACAGATAGTATCTGGGATGAGACTGATTCATTTATGATTCCTTATACAGTAGAAATGTCAGGATTTCTCCTTTGGAAGTGCCAATAACATACTTTTTTTTTCGTTGTAGACAATAAATACTAAAAGCCTACTTTTGAGGTTCCTGGTGCCTCGTCCTCTGTCCAAAGGTCGGTGCCATTCAGGGTCTGCCTGTAGGACTCCAGAATTGCTAAACGCCAGGCCCTGGGTTTACTTCCAGCAGCCACGTCTATACAGTCTTGTCCACCTTCCTCTGCACGTGTCCCATCAAAGAGCATTTCTAAACCCAGCCTCGCATTTTCCCAAAGCTTCACGACAAGACCTTTGCTCCTTCTTGGCCAGTTGTTTCCAGGTACTCATTCTATACCTTTAAAATCTCAGGGTTCCAAAAAGGTTACAGAAGTAAAATTACATACACTCAAAATTTAAACGTTGGTAAAACTGGTGGGTGGGGTAGGAATTACTGAATTATTTAAGTTTTATGCACACATATATGCTATTTATCATATGTGTCAAGTTGTACATAAAACAAGTGATTGAATGCATTCCATTTCCTTGATAAACTGCTCTGAAGTACCTTAAAAAACTTTTTTTTAAAGTTTATTTATTTTGAGAGAGACAGAGACAGAAGGGGAGGGGCAGAGAGAGAGGGAGAAAGAGTCAATCCCAAGCAGGCTCCAAAGTACTGTCAGCACAGAGCCCGATGTGGGGCTTGATCCCACAGACCATGAGATCACGCATGACCTGAGCTGAAATCAAGAGTTGGACATTTAACCGACTGAGCCACCCAGGCATCTCCGGCTTTGTAGAGTCTTTTATTATTTTTTCCAAATTTGATTTAAGATGAGGGCAGAAACTGAATAATTTAGTTTCTCTCAATACTGATCCAAGCCTAGTATAGAAAAAAT